ATATTATAACGTTGGAGAAAGGGTATTCCGGGATCGCTTCAGACCTCGTTAGAAAACAGTCCGATTTTTCTCTCGTGATCCAAGTTTGAAACATAACTCAAACCGACGCGAGTACACGGCACGATCTTTTTCGTTCGTAAGAAGAAAATTTACGGTGGATTATGAATTTATATTTTGATGGGAGAAGCAAGAATTAATATGAAAAAAAAATTGGCTGATAATAATGTAATAATATAACGATAAATAAATAAAACGAGACTGTGATATATAAATAAATGGTCACCAAAATTCCAAATCACTTGTGGAGGGTTAATTGTTCGCCACTTTTTACAAGTTTGACTTTGCGACAATTATGTCTTCTCCTTTTTATCAACAGTTGGCTATTTGGAAATTCTATATTAATTAGAAGAGACTTTTAATTTTTGCCGGAACGATTGAAATATGACGTTTGTCATAATAACGACTCTTCTTTGAGCCACTCACCACTTAAGAGGGTATTCCCCTTTGGAGACGTTATTTTTAGGCCATTTTTCGGATAGAAGATTATCGGACAATTATAAATCAAGAAACTTGAAATTTTTCGTACACCTTTAGTCATGTTTCAGGAAAGCACAGTGTCATTTTTACGTAATTATCTTAATTATTATTTAAGTTATTACACATTTCTGAATGGCTGCCACGAAGAATCAAAGATAATCTTAATCCATACGAGTGTTCTTATCGTCCCTACTAAAATAAAGCAAAAAGAAATGAATTTTGATTTTAAAATATCATTTTTATCATCAAAGCTTTAACTTCTTTAGGCAAAAAGAAAAAAAAAAAAGTGACAAATTACATTTCCAACAGCTGATCACTTAGAAACTCTGCATTAATTCCAACGGACTTTCAATGTCACCAGAACGATATTCCAATTAAAACGCGAAATTATTTGTAACAATAACAACTCTTCTTCGAATCGTCTCGCTATATCGTAACAAATGATCGAAACGTGCTCGTTGATCAGCTAAAATTGTCGAACAAAGCGAACATAACCTTGCCTTCCATTTCCTGTCCACGATCACGGTTACGTTTGAAAAAATAAAAGATCGTTCTTGGCTCTCCGGGGCAATTATTTAACAGGTAACGATCGTATCATGGAGGAAGAACAAGGTGTCCTCTTGATCCTTACATGCAGCTACTTAAAAATCCAACGACAAACATATTCTCGATCGATCGACGAGTATACCTTTTTTATCCATACCAGCTGCAAAAGGAGGAGAGATGAAAAGAGAGACGCACACACATAGATACATACAGTGTAGGTCGATTTTAATGAAAGAAGAAGATATCGAAGGAGTTAATTCGCGGATACGAGAGGATACACGCGGTTCAAAGTATCCGTTTAAAACGGATCAAAGGGAAGTTATTCTTGGCGGAAAGATAAATAGATTTCGTTGCTCCGTAAAGATGCTTTATAGACCAGACACGTTAGAATGAAGTCAGACAAGGGGCATGCACGTAGTGTGTAGCCTAACGTTTTTAGTATCTAGGAGTGCAAAATTAGTAAATTTTCTTTACCAGGATAGAGCTGCAGCTTCTTTGCCTCGTTGATCGCCTCCTCGTAGAGGACCTCATGCTCTAGAAAGTATTCCTCGTCCGGATGATGATTCACAACTGTGACAGACTCGAGATCACCGAGGATCAGGATTACCGTCAGTACTATGAATGCAGCGGTATTGCTCATGCTAAGGCTTCTTCTTCGACATTTTCGACGGCGATCGATATCGTGGAATTTTTACGCTAATTCCACCGGTATTTGATGCTTGAAATAGAGAAATGTAGAAATTGATCAGATTGAAGGGATTTTTGTTTGCGTGTGTGTTAACCCTTTTGTGGTAGGATCTTCTTTTTTTTTTTTTTTTAAAGAGTTTCTTAGTTATCTAAGGATCTGTAGTAGTCCGTAGTGGATAGTGAATTGAGGTCGATTTTTATTGGGTACGTTGATACATGATTCTGCGCAGTTTTCCATCAATAATTAACCCTTTACCATGTAACGACGAGTCACACTCGTGGTGCAGGTTATAGTGAAGATGTGACGAACGAAGGATAATTGTATTTCTAATCAGTTTGCATTTTAAAGCTAGATTCAGATTTAGTTTGAGTCTGACTGTTGCAAAATACAATATTTTGATTCTTTTATTTATTTAACGCTGTATTAAGATAGTGAATAGTGGAGGCTGTCACACGTAGCAATTAAAAAATCTAGAGGTTAACTAGTGTCGTTATTTCAATTTTACAATTTACTTTTTCTAATTTTTTTCTTGTAGTTCATTTCTAATGTATTCAAATTTATCATTTCCAATATATAAATTTGTAAGTTTAGCTGTTTCAAATTTATAAAAATCATTACTCTTTGAATTACAGTGTCTTCATTTCGAAATAATTTATTGATTTATTCATTTTGGAAAGATCGAGTGAATAGGGGAAGACCGCGGATTATGATTTACTTTATAGTATACAGAGTTAATTAGCTTCTGAAAAAATGATTTATCATTCAACGGCCATGAAAATTTTCGTCGTTTAGCGGTGTTAAGCCTAATTACCAAGGAAATGTATTTTAAACATAAAAAGATCAGGATCGATCAAGTGCTTTGGCGGTAAAATTTAAAAAGTGAAATTAACCCACTTTACCACCTTTTGGAATGGTTGAACAATTGAAAATATAAAGTTAATCATTTCCAATCGATACTTGTAGGATATCTTTCTAGTTTCTAATAGTTTTTAATTTCGATCGCATTTCCTTGTTATATGATTCCTTCTTTCTTTCTTTTTTCTTCATTATCCAAACTCATTCCATACGCATAGTATAATGATTGTCACAACCGGAAGTGTATGCAAGATTACGGGATAAGAATGCCGGTTGGGCAGTGCCGTATGAACGATAACGATTGCCGTATTATCATCATCCAAGGTGAGTTGTGAAAAGGACCCTTTGTGCCCAATGTGTCACCTTCTACCAAAGGTGTTCACTTTGAATATTCTTCCGGCTGTGTAAACCGTTCCGACTGTTTGTTAGTTTTTCCCATTAACGTTGTTAAGTCACACGTGATGAAAATCTGTCTATTTAATAGGAAACTTCGTCACTGATCAACTGATACTGTAATAAACGTATTCGGTGTTGAACAATTGAATATAATGATATATCAGCGAGCTTGTATACAGGGTGGGCAACGTGAAACCTGATTATTAAGAAACCAACTTGAAATATTTAACAATTGTTAACCTGTTAACTGTGTTCACCTTTCAAATAGAAATTGGATCTCTCTAGTTTATTATTAAAAATGAGTAAAAAGTGTAACCTATTTTACAGGCGTAACAGTGCAGTTAACAATGAACAATCCCTCGATAAATAAATTATTGTGTTCTGAGTATCGGTCTTTAATTGAGAATAGCCATAAATTATTTAAATAATTGAAACAGAAGAAAGCAGTCGAACTTGTCCGTAGAATAAATCTTTATTTGTGAAGTATAGAGTAACTGGCAATTATGGTCGTTAATAACCAAGATGTTGATGCGATCTTTATTGTATTTAAAAAAAAAAAAAGGGTTATTTGATCAATATTCGAAACGCATGAATTATTATTTGTTAATAAGTTCACGAGCTGTCTAATATAATGTAGACGTTGCTGAAACGTGAAATTTTTAAATAAGCAAAAAAAGTGTTGCAATAAAATTTAGTACGTTGGTATCTTAGGTATTTTTTTTTTTTTTTTCTATCATGATAGAAACGTCATCAAGCAAAATTACAACGCAAGTTCACGGTAAAGCTATATAATTACATGGACTTATCTTTACATCTGTTATTCAGACTAAACCAATGTTTTAATGTCGCAGACTGCGCACGAAACACACCGTCCGCTCGAACCCGCGCGGTTTTGATATCGATCGCATAATTCATTTCATTTTGGGACTGATTCATCCCCTAGTTACTACGTACATATATTCTACGCATTCGTTCGCTAGATCTATTCTGTCTTTTTCAAATATTTTTTTTACCTGGAGCTCTTGGTTCACCTGCTTTCTTCTTTTATCAGCAAATGTAACTGTTACGACACGTGTATGTAACAGATATAAATCCTTTCCGGTGTGAAATTGTTAAACTTTGTTATTGAAACGTTAAACAATTAAAATACTTTAGTATGTTTTCTTTCTTGATAACAAAAAAAAAAAATGCAGTATTTTTTAAAGTAACGAAACTACTTTGGTATTTTTAATAAATAATTTAGTACCTTTTTCTTTTTAAATTATGAAAATACTTCGGTATTTTCTTTTTAGTAACTTAGCAAGAGCTCTAGTGAGAAAAATATAGTAAGGGTGATTAAAATGTGCGTAAATTTATTTATAGACATTCGAATCGGTGTATTTTTATGCAAACAGGATGACGATCAAATAAGTCCAGCACAGCCATAAACGCAAAGATTTAAACAAACGGGACAAACGATCCTGAATATTCGACAAAAATACTGACGTCAGTTTATATGTTAGTGTAACATATTTCACTGTATCCAGCATGCTCGATAAAATAAACAATTTTGCTGAAATAAGATAACTCTGACAAAAGCTTATGTAACGTAAAATCACTCGACAAATAACTTCAATTTTTCCTTTTTTAATCAAAAAAATCGTATTAACGTTAGAAAATAAATTGCAACTCTAACTTAAAAAGAGACAAACATGAGAAAAATAACTGAGAGCAAGTAAGAGAATGGTGCAACGAAAAAACGAGATAAGTTGAAGAAGTAATATTCGTGAGTGAGTCACGATGACAAAGACAGATGATCGTTAATTAAGCCCAATTAAGGGCCCTGTACGCGAAACACGGATGTCTTGACTTTTCGAATCAAGGTGGCATCGTGGAATGTCTTCCTGTTAATTATTCTTCCACTTTTTACAACCGATCGTTCGCCTATTCTTATCGTCGAACAGTTGGGAAGAAACATCGCCCCGAACGGTCGATATTTACCACAAAATGGTTAAGACAAGGCGTAAAGTTAATTAAGGTATTGAACGCGATATGACGGAAAGCGGACACGGTTTATCTACTTGAAGCATTACGTCACGACAGTGCTCGTTTTCTTAGGACTTACATTGAAGAAGACAACGACGACGACGACGAAGAAGAAGAAGAAAACGTAAAGCAACTGTGCAAGAATAACGACAAGTATATTGAATAATGTCGAGTCAAGGTTGGTTACAAAACTATATTAATGTTGTAATTTTTACGATGCGACCTTTCACCGTAACAAAACGAGCATCAATGGCAAGGTTTCAATTAGGTGTAGGTGTATTTACTATATTTTTCGTACCCTTCCTTTCGACTGCATTTGGACGAAGAATGAAGGTGATTGAACGTCGTATTTTTTAAGCTGAATTATGTGGTATTTGTTCTTTTCTTTCTTTTTTTCTATTAAGATGTATAGAAATATTGGAAATGATTTGTAACTGTTGTTGTAAGTGAATTGGATTGGTACAGATGATCGCATACTTTTTCGTACCATTTATATTTTTCAAATTGAGCAATAATTAAATACACGAGTGAAATTAACATTTTTTTCATTACGAAAAATCGAACGTAGATTGCATATTTTTCAGATCGAGCAATAACTAAATCACACTTCTTTACGAAAGATCGAATATTGTTCGAATTTTTATTAAGATTTTTATTAGATAAAGTCGAACACAATATCGACGTGTCGATAGGTTTGATCGTGAACGAAATTACGAAAAATGCAGTATTTCCTTCGAATTAAAAATTATTACGGGCGAAACACGTGTTTTCCAGTCGATAATTAACCTACAAATGTTTACACGTGTCAAGAGATCCCTTCATCTTCTTATCTTAAATATTGCGACGAATAAAGATGTTCTCTCCTGTTCGAAAATACACATGGACACTTGTAGCGCTCTCGCGCGAGAAACGAAAGTGTGTAAAACAATCCGTTCGTATCTAACCTCGTATTTAGTTGCATTTTCGAGAAGAGCTACTTTATCTCCCGCTAACCTTTGCTCTTCGTCGAATAATCTCTTTTTTTCCCCCCTCTTTATTACGAAAACGAGGGAAAATACTCGATGTGTGAGGGGAAGTTATCATAATTATCGACATTGCGTTTTTATGTACATAGTTGACACTGGACCTAAAAGTGAATGCAGTATTTTCTACTCTTTCGAATAATTCTATCTCTTTGGAAAAGTTATCTTATTACGATACTAAATCGTGCGCATTTTTTCCGTTATTCGGTAAAACAGAACATGAAAAAGGTTAATTTCTCTTACCATTAAATCGACCTGTTCACCGCGCACGTATGATCCACAAATGGAAATCCACTTTCCACGAGCTAATCCCTCGAAATGTCATGTTAAAAAATCCACTAGTAGCACTTAAATGGTAAATGTCGAATCGTAACTTGGGAGAATCGTCACGATTGCAACATATTCACAAAGATGCGAAACCCGGAAAGAAAACGTGAGGAAGAACGATCGTTTTTAACAGTTGAGATAAACTGTTGCCCGTTGTTTGTGAAACCGATAAAAAACGTGCAGTGGTTAGGAAAAGTGTGTCGGATTGGGTGACGTGCGCGACCGTCGAAGACTACGGGCTACGTTGAACTGTCGGCTGAGGGCTGAAAAGAGTATTAGGCACAACCACCACCACCACCGTGCTATACTACTGCTACTACAGCCACCGCTACTATGACACTTGTATTGTGTTGTCGTTTTCCTGTCGCTACGAGTAATTCGTTTCGACAAATCGAATAAAAATCCTTCGTTCGATTTTTTCGTTTCTTGGAGAAATATTCACGTTTCGCGAATTTCGATTTGTTAGATCCTACCCTGCGAAAGGTTAACTTACGTAAGCAGTATTTTTCTTCATTTTTCAAGCATTGAAATAAATAGGATGCTTTTGTTTTTTTGTACATTTATTACACAGTTGTTGAATAGTCTTTGGTGCTATGAAATTGTACAGTAGATGTGGTTTGCATTGAAAATATTTACTGTTAAATACGTAGTTTTGAAATTTTTCTTACAAATAAGGAACGTGTTGTTTCAATTTTCGAAGACATAACCTCTTTTCGCAATTTTTTATTTTACCTTTTATTTCGATTTAACGTCACAGAAAGTTATTCTAAATGTATTTACTTAAAAGCCACACTTATACTGCAAGGTCTTACAACAAGATAAAACACAATTTGTATTCGTGCGTGAAATAGATAGGCGTACATAAAAATGTAAGTTATTAAAGACAGTCCTCGAAACGTCGTTACAATTTTATAACTTGTTTTCTGTCGTTTTATTTGCATAGATGGGTTCAAATATTCATTGCACAATCGAATTAAAAGCGTACAAATATTATGACTCTTGAAGATATTACACTATTTAACATATATGTATCGAGTCACGACTGGCAATTAGTTCTCGAATCTATTCACAGTTTAATGCAACGCGCTCACGTGCGCACTTTTGCTGTTCAGCAGCTGAGGACCCTACAACCAGGAATACGTGCTTCCGAGTATACGAATACTTAAACATGCAACCATTCGTATAAATCGCTTTACGACCCCACGCTGGCACAAAAATTGTATGCACAAAACTGTGATCCGAAATTAGACACGCCAGCAATGGTATATGCCAATTTTCCAAAATGAAATGCAAAATAGGAAACATGTATTGTTACAAATTCAATTCACTGGAAAGAACGTTTATCTGAATAATATTATTCAGTGCATTCTGAAAAATTGACAACAGCTGTGAAATAATAGTCTAAATTATCGTTGGTAAACTAATAATTTATAAAGAGCAAAAAATTATATTATTGTAGGTATTGTTTAAATTACTGGATCGTTTTGTAAATCCTTGCAATGTTTGAGCCATTGTTTTTTTTCTTAACTAGTTTTTTGTGTTAAAGCATTAAATATGTACTTCAGCAAACAGATTTTTGCTTTTGCACATATTTTATAAAATGTGTAAGGTTCAAAGTGGTTGGAAAATTACATACGTTAGGAGAATAAATCAAGTATGAATAATAAAGAGAAGAACAATCAAATTTTGGATAATATTCGTTTAACCTTAATGAATTTTTATTCTCAACGAATTTTTAACCTAATGAATTTTTATTCTTAACGAATTTTTAACCTAATGAATTTTATTTTTTTACCAAATAAATACAATATCAGCCGTACATAATAGAATCGTTATTTTTACAACAAAAAAAATCGTATTTATGAATACGCATCGTGGACGATTAAACACGTTATACATGGAACACTCTTGCAATGCACACCTGGATTTTGGTAGGTATGGGATCAGTGTACACACGCGTACAAAGGCGCCGTGAAAGGACTTTTATAAGAAAGCATGGAAAGCCTTGCGAAGAAGGGTCCGCTTACGTTACTTATTGATTTTGTTGGCGAGACCTTGCATAGGTTCACTTCTGAATCTAGTATTAACATCTTCAAAAGATATTTTCAGCTAGATCATCTGTAAAAAATTTTCATTTTAATAAAATAAGCAGAAAAAAAAATGATAAATACTTCTGTTGTTGTATTAATTGAAAGATAAAAATATCACAGGTGTATACTTTTGTTTGCTTTATCAAAAATATAATTCAACTTACTAATTGAATATTAATAGTAACAAACATATTTAGCTATTTATTTTTAGTCTTTGTTAAACTTTGTTAAAAATTTATCCAAAACTTATCGACAAAATTACGATGCAGTATTCAGTTAGAAATGTCGAGAACTCCTTATTGATCCTGAAATTCAGTTATTTCCGATGGAACTTGACAAGGACATTTCTGGTAACGAATTATAGCTAAATAGCATTGAATATGGAAGAAATAGATTTTCAACCAATGATTCCCCTGGCTACCCGCATCATGTTCGATCTTATGTTATACTTTGCACATCTGTTTTTCTATATGATAATATACCACAAATGTTTCATCGACAAACTAAATGTTCTGATTAAAAGGTTACCAGCAAGTGTTTCAAAAATTGATTAAATAAACCATAAAGTAACGCGTCGGAATTGAAGGTAATTCCTTCGAAACGTTTCGTTTATATTTCATTTATTGTGGGTGTGCCGGTGCCTAGCCCTCGCACGCTCCACATACGTTTTACAGTGACACACCCTGTATGTGGATCTTGAAATGATCACGTAAAATGCAGAACTTGTAGCCGCAATACGTCTGTTTACAATATGTAATGGAAAATCTGACTGACACTCGTTATCCATACGCAGTAATGGATAATGAAAGTTAAAAAGAAAAAGAAAAGAAGTATACTTATAAAGTTTAAAAAACTCTCATACCATACGTATTTCGTAATTGACATGCAATGGATTTGCATAATTCAATAAACATTAAAACAATCCATAATTATACTGATAATTGCTTAAAAGTACCATTTACGCTCATAAATATTTATTTTCGATCTTGTTTGACTTAAAAACAAAAAAAAAAAACACATTATTTACATATGTATGTATTTTCAGTCGTAAAGAATAATAAAACGAGCAATGAAATTACTTCTCCCGAAACTTTCCAGAAGTCTACGTTTGGTAGATGTATTTGTGTTTTCGGGTTTCTTCATCAAATTTGTGGATCTACATTGATATACCGGGTTCTGTTCACTATAAACTTACTCTTGCCTAGCTGTTTACTTTTTCTACGCCAAGAAAACTCTCTTCCAGGCTAGACTGTTATATCTCAATGAACGGTTTATTTAGTTTCCTGTAGTGTTAAACAATGCATGGACGAAAATGAGCGTAGGCGATAATACGCGCATGCTCGCTTCTAACTATTCCACCAATTAATTGCGCAACCTTTAAACGATAATTTCAATGGAGCCAATTTATAACATACTGTTCTCCACAAAAGTGGAAACGTTCTCTTAAACGATTAAGAATTTTTTTCACACTTGGAAGTTTAGAATTAAAAACTGTAATCACGTTTGTGAAATGTATTAAAAATTATCTGTGATTATTAAGTGTACGATGATACAATTTTGCACTATTGAAACAAGAAAATTTTCGTTTATAAGAAAACATAATAACTCCTTGTCCATGAATCTATAATTCAAGCTAAGTAACTATTTAATTTACTTAAATAATATAAACAATTAATGATCGATAACGAAAGTGCTTTAAAACGACTTTCTATTTTTATTTATTTTGATTCGTTATCTACGTTATAGCTATGTACAATATCTAATACATGCATGAGACCGTATAAAAGTTATCTACCTGTCAAATTTAGCTTATTAAGCACATACATCTGCATATTATGTTGCACTATCCCTTTCTTATAATTTGTTCCTTTTGTTTATGTGCCAAATAAGTTTAAACGCACGTTTCTACGTTACAGTTGCACGTCATTGCAGTAACTGTAAGGAATTTAAGAATACATGCGCAAATGAAACTATGGTGTGTCTCAAGCCGCGTCACATATAGTTTGTGCAAGATTGCACAGTTCAAGCTGGAAACGTCAGCACTCTAAATAGAAATGTTTCAAGAGAAGTAGTGGAAGGGAAGGCATGGATCGTCTTCGTGTACGCAGAGTTTATTATTTTACGATTGAATACTGAAGAGTAAACTTTTTTTTGCATCTCTAATATCAAATTAAACAATAAAAATGTCATCCGAGCCTATTCTGAATCCTGTAAGTATTAATTTTTTAAATTAGGTAACTATTTCATCTAGTAATACCAGCAAAATAACTATCATTGATCTAGAAAAGATGATATCCGCAATGCTGATACAATCGCAATGTGTGTATCAAATTTATCGATACAACGATTGAACTATTTAGATAATTAATTTTTATGGGTATTTTGACTTTTTTACTTT